AATTTCACCTGTATACCAAATAGATATCCTACATTTCATTTACTAAAAATTTCACCTGTATACCAATCCTACATTTCATTTACTACAAATATCATCTGTATACCAAATAGATATCCTGTTCTGTTGATCTTATTTGACAGGTGAGCTGATTGAGGTCCTATTAGTCCTGGGATCTACAGTATTTATGTAGTACTAATGATAGTGTTATTGACTGTGATGATCATTGTTAATTACAAAACAATAAGGTTTTATGGTCTGTTGTTTAAATAAATTTTTTTTAACCTTCTATGTTTTTGTTTCAGAATCAGTTATAAAGATGGTGAAGAAAGTGTTGAATGTTGGAGACAAATCTACTAAGGAGGACCTTGGATTAAGTAAGACATTTAGTTTTTTGTTATAAACATTTTCCAGGTGATCAACATTTACAAGTTTTTCTTAGTTAACATTAATTAAATTTAGGATATGCCATTGTTAACTTTAAAGTTTTGTTGTCACTATAATGTCATTGCTGGGTATTTTACACAGAATCTTAGTTTTACCTCCCACTAAGCACAGGAGGGCATGTTGGCATCGCTTTATCCCTGTGTCTCTCTGTGCATCTGTATTGACCACACCTAAGAATGTTAAGTAGAAATAATGATGTTTTTGCCTAGATGCTAATTGTACCAATGTTTGAAATGTGTGTTGTAGATGATACAGTTCACACAAATGATACGGAGACATCTACCGTAACTGGAGCTTTGCTGTCTGACAACATGACCAGTGACGGCTACATGTTACCTTGTGTACAGGACCTCAGGTACGTAATATCTCCTATACAAATCTTACCTCTGTAGGGCTGTCACTAGACCTCAGGTACGTAATATCTCCTATACAAATCTTACCTCTGTAGGGCTGTCACTAGACCTCAGGTACGTAATATCTCCTATACAAATCTTACCTCTGTAGGGCTGTCACTAGACCTCAGGTACGTAATATCTCCTATACAAATCTTACCTCTGTAGGGCTGTCACTAGACCTC